CTCCATGGCAGCCATTTCAGGATAGGTCTCATCTCCCCAATGGCAGCCATTTTGTTGTGGTGTCCCCTACACGTTCTCAAAATGCTAGAAGTGTCCCCAAGTTGAACAAGGTTAGGGACCCTTACGATAAAGAGTTTCACAGGAGGCGTAGAACCAGTTCAGTCCATGGACTTTTAAAATTGTTTATTGTGCATTCTATATGTGTATCTCTTACACACACACACACACACACACACACAATATGAATACTTTAAAAGTGATGTTGTCAGTCAGGGCAATATGGAAAGTAGGAACACTCTGATAGGCTCTTCAAGTCTGAATATTCAATGGGAAACAATGGGAGCATGTTGAAAAAAATTCCTTTAAAAATTGAAACAGTGACAAAACAATTGTAATAATTTCTTGATATTTCCATGTCTCTTTCTGCCTGCCTCTCTCTCTCTTTCTCTCTCTCTCTCTCTCTCTCTCTTTCCTACATAATTGTTATTGCTTGCATGATTGCTCTGGCCTCATATTCCATCTCCCCTCAGAGGCATTCTCAATTCTGCTGTTATTCTTGTATTAGTGCTGAACCCATTAAAGCTAATTTGTTCACCCTAATCTCCATTTATTTTTCCCTAGTTGATATTAGATTTGCTTCTCTATTGCTCTATCCTGATTTTCTTTTTGTCTTCCTAATAGGTCTCCCCCCCACCCCTTCCTCTATTAATGGTATCACCTTCCCTTTTCCCATCCTCCAAATCACATTAACTCCTGACTTCCCTCCTTCCACTGCTTAGACCCCCAGTAGGCAGTGTTCGTGTGTTGTGCTTTGTGGGGTTCCCCAGTAGCCTCACGAAAAAGACAAGCAACATACAAAGGCGTTTGGACAACTAAACTGGGCTGAGAGTGGGATGTCCTCACCCAGGATGGGCCATCGCCAGTTCAAGCCTTTCCAGATTACATTTTCTTTTTTGCACTTAAGGTCCAACTGTTATCCGTTTGTTGCACAGAAATCCAGATCTCTTCCCTTCAAATATGTCTCTCTTGCTGGGGGTATTCCATTCCCCAGCTTCCATATGTTATTCCAGAGAAATGTGATTTTAGTTCACTCTTGGCAAAACGTAGACACTCCTTTCCCCAACCCACCCTGTCTCAATAGGAAACAAAAATATGTGGACTGGATAGTCCACTACAGAGGACTGGTGAGAGTCTTGGGGAAATGTGGCTGGCTCATGCGCCTGGATAAGCCGTACAGTGGCGAATTCTGATATGCTGACTGGTGGAGATATAGCTCCCAAGAAGTGCAGTTAGGATACCAGTAGCTATACTCTCATCTCAACTCCAAAGCACCTTCGTGGGGAGAGGGTGGAAATGGGTGAGGACGACTGAGTGAATCCTTACCACACAATCATAACACTGGGTCAGGGTTTGGTTGGCAAGGACCCATACAATTATTCCCACCTGCTGACTCATGGACAAGAGAGAGAGAGAGAGAGCAGCACCATTTTTTCAGAGCAAAAAGAGGGAGGCAAAGCTCAAAAAAGCTACTCATTTGAATAATTGAAGCTGCCTCATATTGAGTCAGGCCAATTGGGGTCTGAAAAGGTCAGCACTGTCTACACAGCTCTCCAAGGTCTCAGGTAGAGGTCCTTCACACACCCCACACCCATTAAAGTGCTTTAGAAGTTTTACAAATATACACGCAGAGGCTGCAGTCTCTCACACACTAAATAGTCCACTTCCAGTCCACTTTCCAACTGGATTTTGCCAGTTCACACAGTAAAAATCCAGTTGGAAAGTGCACTGAAAGTGGATTATTTAGCATGTGTGACTGCAGCCAGAGAGACCTTAAGCTACTTTCGTTTACATACTTAGTAGTAACTTCCTGCCTACTGCTAAGTAGGGAAATGAGAAATGTCTCTGGACATTCACTTGCAACTTTGAAAGTTGTCATACCTCAGGCAAAAAGTTCCAAAGCTTGAGGCCGCTGAGCTGGATCACATGTAGATTTGATGCTATTAAACTTGGGCTCAGTGGGGACTCCTAGAGTAGCTAGCTCACCACAGAAACCCCCTGCAGAGCTTCTGGTAGACCATTCCTTTGTCAGTTTATTACCAGTTGAGAGTGGTGCATATCCACTCTGATGGGATCGTTTCCTCTTTGGACTAGATTTTACACCTTTCTGTACTCTGCAAAATAATGCTTGGATTTCCGGGCTTTCCAGCCTCACTTTTATGATGACATCACCTGTCATACCTCTACTTTTCTCATGTCTCTGAATCCACTGTCTATATTTATTTCTGCCAACTGGCAGTAACATTCCATTTGGTATCTGATGAAGTGTGCATACGCATGAAAGCTTATACCCAGAATTAAACTTTGTCTTAAAGGTGACCCTGGACTCAAACTTTGTTCTGTTTTATGCATCTGACAGAGTGGGCTTTGGTCTTATAACAGCTTCTGCTGCAATAAACTTTTCAGTCTTTAAGCTAGTCTGCGGCTGCCGCAGATTAAAATGACTATCCCTCTGTTGTTGGTTTTTACCAATATGAAGATGTGCAGGAAACTTCCATCATTTCCCAGAATGTTGGACTGGGGAGTCACCTGTGACTTTGGTCCTGAGAGCCCATATTTGATATTATTTACCCTAAAGGAATTGTCTTAAGAGCTCAATCAATAAAAACAAGGTGAGGGGGAACACGATCTTGTTTGTACGTTATTTAAAATATTTAAATACCACAACATGCCACAAAATTCCTCTGTTGTACTTTCCACCATATAAAACAGCAAATAGAGTGACTGAAATCACAAATAGGATTAAAAGCTGACAGCAAAAACCACTAAAAGCAATTAAAACTGTGAACTAAGTATAAAGTTGCAGTAATGATTAAAACAGGATAATAACGGAAACAGAACTAGGTAAAATCTAGATGAGACATAGGCTTAAAATCACAGTTAAAACACCTGGGTTGGCCTACTATCAAAAGACAACCAATGTGGTGTAGCACCTAGAGTGTTGTCGTAAAAATTGGAAGACTGAAGTCTGAATCTCCAGTCTGATATGGACCAGACACACCCCTGCAGCCTAACCTACCTCACAGGGTTGCTGAGAGGATAAAACATCTGGAGCCCCTTATATCTGTAATTCTGTGACGTTGTAAAATGTTTTAAATGTTTTTAATGTTTTATATGCTGGCGTATGCCTGATTGTGAGCCGCCCTGAGCCCGCTTCGCAGGGAGGCCTGAGCCCACTTCGCGGGGAGGGCGGGTTATAAATGAAACTTATAAATATAAATAAAATGGGGAGAATGAGGTCATCAGCTGCTTTGGGTTCGCGCTGTGGGGACAGTGGGATATAAATGAAGTTAACATGTTGACAAATTTGAAACCAAGCACAGGGTTTTTCATAGGCAAAGTTCCGCAACCAAAAAGGCCTTGTTCTTGTTGCCACTCACCTATCCTCTGAAGATGGGGATACCTGAGCAGGCCCTGTGATGAAGGCTGATATTGCTGGTATCTTAGTCCCAGACCATTTTTCATTGAGCCCAGAAACCAGCAACCAATGGAGTTCTTTACCCACTGGTTAAATATGCTGCGTGTAATCAGTACCTGGCAGCAAATTCATTTTGAAATAATTGAAGCTTCTGAACTATCTTTAAAGGCAGCATCACTAGAAGTTGGATCACCACACCTAAATCGTGTCCATTTATTTACTTAATTTATGTCCTGCCTTTCTCCCCAATGGAGATCCAAAAACAGCTTACATCATTCTTCTTTCATCCATTTTTCTCGTACAACAACCCTATGAGGTAGATTGGGCTGAGTGTGTGTGACTATGCCAAGGTCAAGCTTCTAGAGAAGAGTGAGGATTTCCACTGACTGGTTCTATTAATGTGGAACTTTTAACCACACAGTCCATCAATATGAAATAGTGGAGTCCATTCTAGTACTTTAGTACTTTACCAGCTAATTTCTGCCTCATTCTCTTGCATGTGTAGATCAGGCCTCAGTCTTACCTGAACTGTGCTTCAGTTTCTTGGCTGTCTTCCAGCCTGTTATTTCCCCCAGGCACCAACCAATTTAGGATGCCTCCAGCCTCACCTGACTCCAATGAAAAAGAGAGTGAATTGTGAATCAATTGACCCTACTCTTTTTCAGTTTTATAGCACAGGGTTTGGTGTATATTTTGAATTACACTTTTGTCTGCCTGTGGTAGATTATATAACACTTAAAGCATCTCAGATTTTCAACCACAGTTTGGAAAGCATCAGAAAATAAATTTAAAAGTGTTGTTTTTCCCTCTAGCATTTTGTCATTGCTCTTTAAATGTTACCCCAATGCTGCTTATCAGATCAAGTAAATGAAATAAACATGTCAGCAGAGATAGTCTACATTTTCTTCTCTCCCATCCTCAGGTACAGCAAAGTATGCATGTAGCCCCAAAACTGAGCCAGGGGGCTGGGAGGAGGAGGATGGATATAGTCCACCTGCTGAGTATAGGCTAGGTTGTGGTCACACACACGAAATAATCCACTTTCAATCCACTTTGAGTGTACTTTCCAACTGGATTTTACTGTGTGAACTGGCAAAATCCAGTAGGAAAGTGCATTGAAAGTGGATTATTTTGTGCGTGTGATCACAGCCTATAACAGTCAACTTGTTGACTCATAACTAAACCATTATCACGCCTACCTAGAAAGATACTCATTGGGTTTGAGGCAACTCCAAAGGCCAATCCTCTGTCCTATAAGTAGACGTGTATATTTGCCCGGTTTGCCTTAAGGTTCTCTGGCTGCAGTCATTCCCAAAAGATTATATCAAACTGTTTTGGTCAGACCTCACTTGGAGAATTGTGTTCCATTTTGGACACTGCAGTTTAAGAAGGATGTTGACAAGCTGGAATGTATTCAAAGAAGGGCAACGAAGATGGTAAGGAATCTCTGGAGACCAAGTCCTTTGAGGAAAGATTGGAGGAGCTGAGTATGTTTAGCCTGGAGAGGAGACAACGGAGAGGCGTTATGATAGCCATCTTCAAGTATATGAAGGGCTTTTATATAGAAGATGGAGAAGAGTTGTCTTCTGTCACCCCAGAAGGTCGGACCAGAACCAATGGATTGAAATGAAATAAAAGAGTTTTCAGCTAAAAGTTAGAAAGAACTTCCAAGTGTGGTTCCTCAGTGGAACAGACTTCCTTGGGTGGTGGTGGGTTCTCCTTCTTTGAAGGTTTTTAAGCAGGGGCTAGATGGCCATTTAACACCAATGCTGAGTTTGTGAATTTAGTCAGATCATGAGAGGAAGGGATGAGTCAGTGCTTGACTTTCCTGGCTCTTTCTTACATGCCCAGGGTAATGCTGATCACCATTTTGGGGTCAGGAAGGAGTTTTCCTCCAGGCCAGATTGGCCCAGGGATCATGGAGGGTTTTTTGCTTTCCTCTGGGCATAGAGGAATGAGGGGAGGTAGTTGTGATAGTTTCCTGCATTGTACAGGGGGTTAGACTAGATGACCCCTGAGGTCCCTTCTAGCTCTGTTTCTAAACCAGGTTTGGAAAAGATCACAGCAAGATGGGTGGAAACACAGAAAGTGGACAATTAGGGGACACAGTAATTTGGATGGGTTTGTTTTTTTTAAGACCCTACTCCAATTGAGGCACAAAACTGGAGCAAACCCCCCACACAGAAGCAGCCTCAATAGCGGGCAGTAAATTAATTTTGCCAGTTTGGTGTAGTGTTTAAGTGCGAGGACTCTAATCTGGGAAAACCGGGTTTGATTCCCCACTCCTCCACTTGCACCTGCTGGATGACCTTGGGCAAGCCATAGTTCTGACAAGAGCTGTCCTTGAAAAAGAACAGTTTCTGTCAGAGCTCTCTCAGCCCCACCTACCTCACAGGGTGTCTGTTGTGGGGAGGGAAAGGAGTTTGTAAGCCGCTCTGAGACTTCTTTGGGTAGTGAAGGGCGGGGTATAAATCCAATCTCTTCTTCTTCTTCTTCAAATTATACATCAATTCCTTCCACTGTAAACAATTTTGCATTCTTGTTGTCATTGCATTTCCTTTTTCGCTTTCATTTGCATGGTAAATCTGATAGGCAAGAGACATCCGGAGGTAGTTTGCCATTGCCTGTGTCCACATCTCGTCCCCTGGTATTCCTTGGGGATCTCCCTTCCAAATACGGACCAGGGCTAACCCTGCTTAGCATCTGAGATCTGACAAGATCCAGCTAACCTGGGCCTTTATAACACAGTAATGTCCATTTTTGCAAAACGTTTGAGTGTCATGGGGCCACATTTTTATCTCGCAGACTTAACAGATATGTATAAGTAGAGGGTATGGGGGTGTCTCTTTTATTTTGGAGATAATAGGAAGGACAGCAACTCAGAATGAATTGGTATAAGGATTGCCAAGAACTTCCATTATGTTAATTTCTAATGACACTGACAATAACCAAGGCTCTGGTTCACTCTAAATCAGAATATTCCATACCTGGCATAGAAGAGCTCAGTAGCAGGTAGCCGGTGACTGGTTAGGCATGTACAGAAAGTATTTCTCCAGTTTTACCATGCATGACTTACAAGCCAAGCAGCCCACCAATGATAATCTAGGAGCCCTATGACGGGCTGCCTTGCAATAGTGGGATTTCTTTAATTGGGAGACTGGGCTTGGCATTAAGCAATATGATGCAGAAGGAAGCCATCTTTGCCCTTTCTCCAGTCTTCCTCTGGGCACTTACGGAAACAGAGTGATTCAGTGTGATGTTTCCATTCAGGTGAGAAGTTATTAAGATTGGCACTGATTATAGGACTAGGAGAGTAGAATTAGTGACCAAATGCTTGTGTGGGCGAGGGTAAAACTGGTTAGTGTTTAACTCAGGAACTCTTAATGTTATTCTTTGTTCTCATGAACTTTCAGGATGGGGCAGGAGGAAACCGAAATTGAAATTGCTAATAACAGGTGGAGGAGGGAATATATCTGGGGTTTCTCTCTTCCTGTTCTGTGGGACAGGGACATTGGGGAGCACAGGTCATCATGCCTCTCATCTTTGGCAACTCTGTGCCTGCTGAGGATTGGCCACATAGTGGGGGGTGTCAGGTGAGCCATTTCGTCTTGCGCTTTCATAGAATCAAGGCTCGGACTTTGATGCTGCGCTGCTGGCAGCCTTCCCCGTTGATTCTCCTGGAGTTATCAGTCTTCTTTGACAGAATCAGCTATGGAATCCTTCCAGAATGCCTCTAGTCTGGGGGGTTCTGCTGGTCCTGAGAGGCTGGTCCCAGGAGATCTTGCCTGGAGATTGCTGTTGTGCTCCAAGAAATCTTTACCTCAGGGCTCTCCAGGGCTCTATATTGTCACCTGTGCTTGACAACAACATGAAACAATAGGGATTGGAGGTGAGGTGTCACCAGTATGTGGACAACATCCACCTTCACTTTTCATCTGAGCCAGGTGTGGCAGTGGGAATCTTGCACTGATACCTGGACTCAGGGAGGGGTTGGATGAGGGCTAATGAACAATGTCTATACAAGACAGAGATCCGTGGCTGAGGACCTATGGGGTTATGAGGGTGGGATTCAGAATAGGGTGCCATTCTGCCTTAAGGGTCAGTTAAAGAGACATTGACCTGAGCGGTGGCTCAAGTGGTTAAGACACTGAACTGCAGGCTGTGGAAGGTCAGTAGTTCAGCAGTCCAAGACCCAGGAGCCGCAAGACGGGGTGAGCTCCTGTCTCTAGTTCCAGCTCCTGCCAACCTAGCAGTTCGAAAGCAAGAAATTGCAAGTAGATAAATAGGTACCACTACGGTGGGAAGGTAACAGCGTTCTGTGCGCCTTGGTGTTTAGTAAACGTCTTCGGACAGTGCTGGCTCTTTGGCTTTGAAACGGAGATGAGCACCGCAACCCTAGAGTCGGATTTGACTGGCTTTCGAGCAAGGGAACCTTTACCTTTTTAAAGAGACATTGAGAGATTAAAAATTAGCCTGAGTAATATTTGAATTTACTGTGATTGAACTGTTTATGCGTAAAATGAGCTTCTCTCCAGCAAGCTTCATTTTTTGGTCAAGGTTTGAATTGGATGCCATAAATGGCTTCATATGCTATAGGACAGGGGTGGCCAAACTTGCTCTGTGTAAGAGCCACATAGAATAAATGTCAGATGTCTGAGAGCCACAAAACATGAACAAATATTACATGCACATTTTTATTTAAAAATATGCAAATTTGATTTTTTAATTGACATTAAATGAGACTGCCAAAAATAAAAACAAAAGGGGTAAAAATGGATATTGATAATGATATGTATTTGTCCAATGATATTTATTTTTTGATAATTATATTTATTTGTCTAACAGAGAGGTGGAAAGAAAGAGGTGGAAAGAAAGAATGAAAGAGGTGGAAAGAAAGACAGAGAGAGAGAGAGAGAAACAAAGAAAGCAAATAGGAGGGAGGGAGGGAGAAAAAGTATGCCTCCCCTTCGCTCCCCCAGCTGCCCTACCGGGAGCTGCACAATATGTGTGAAAGAGCCGCATGTGGCTCCCGAGCCACAGTTTTGCCACCCCTGCTATAGGGTCAAGAGCATGTGAAGGCAGCCAATCTGAACAGCTTTGTCATGATATAAAATGACTGTCATGTAGTTTGCCTAGGAAATGATGGCCTTTCCCCTCAAAATAACTAAATCGCCCATGAGGCAGTTTGCATGCATGAAATATTCCCAATCTGAACAGTTTGCCTGCCTTTCTTGCTAAAGAAACAGAATAATGTGGACATTTTGGGCCAAGAATAGAAATCATGGAGCCCTGGGACACTTTTGTTAGTGGAACAAGGTTTTAAAAATAAGAATTTAGTAGACAGAGAGGAGGGGAGAAACTACAGTTCTCATGAGGCAGTGCACCTTTGGACAGTTTTCCTTCCTTTGTCATTAACAAACTCTAAATCAGACTGTCATAAGGAACAGAGCCACTTCATATCTGTAAGCCATAGTGAAAACATTGTGCTTTTTAATATGAAGAATGTGGTGAATGATAGGCAGGGAGGTAGTAAGGGAAGCAGCTATAGTATGAAGCCGTTTATGGCATCCAATTCAAACCTTGAACAAAAAAAGAAGCACTCTGGACAGAGGCTCATTTCATGCATAAACAATTCAATCTCAGTAAATTCAAACATTACTCAGGTTCATTTTTAATCTCTCAGCATCTCTTTAACTGATCATTGCAGCAAGGTAGGTGGGGTATTTTTTCTAAGAGAGCAACCTTCCATACAGAAAATTCCCATGGTTAGAATATCATAGAGGTAGAGATGTAAGAAAATATATATAATTAGTACAAGTGGGGGATCCACAAGGACTTGTGAGGGACATCTGATTTCCCTCCCTTACTATTTCCCCTTTCTCTTCCCTGAAAACCCATTAGCCTCTCCCCTTTTCCTGCTTTCTTATCTCTTTCCTACCCCCCCCCCGCCAACCTGTTTTGTCTGCCTTCCCATTTTCAGCTTTCCCTTCTTCTTTCCCCCTTGCAGCCTCTCCCTGAGAAAACTGGCCCAGTTGTGCAATGGTGGCTGCTGGGCCAGGCCCAGTTACATGGTAGGGAAGTTGCAAAGGGACACCTCCCTTTCCCCTGTATCCCCCTTCCCATTATATCCTCTTTCCCTCCTAGCAGCCCCCATATCATCCTTCTCTGCTTCCTTTGTCTGACCTACCAACCAATCCATGTTTATCTGTCCTAGGATTGCCAAGTCTTACCTGGCTGTCCGCAGGGGGTTCCCTCTTTGTCCCCTGGTGTTTTTGGTGAGCGTGCAAAGCACACTGCCATGATGATGTCAACCGGAAGTGATGTCATTGTGCAGGGCACATTGCAGGGGGACACTCTATCATTTGACGGAAAACTCTGTGGTAACCATAGATTTTTTTCTCATATGATAGATTGCCCCCCCACGTGCCCTGCACAATGACATCACTTCTGGGTGACGTCATTGCACTGGGCACATTGGCACAAATGGGGCCCTTTGGGGGCGGGGTTCCCCCTGCCAGCCGGATTGGACTGGTGGATTGGGGGCTCCAAAAGCGGGTAAACCCCCACCCCCATTGGGGGAATGACAACCCTAATCTGTCCCCCCTCCTCATCTATATTTATTATTTATTTGCTTCATTTATTCCTTGCCTTTCTCCCCTATGGGGACCCAAAGCAGCTTACATTGTTCTCCGGCCCTCCATTTTATCACAACCAACTTGTGAGGTAGGTTAGGTTAAGAGTGTGTGACCAGCACAAAGTCACCCCACGAGCTTCTTCTAGCAGAGTGAGGATTCAGACGTTAGCATCTCAGAGAGCAGTGTGAAACTCTTAACATTACAAAGGGTTATCAGCTCTGGGTTGGGAAATTCCTGGAGATTTGGAGGCAGAGACAGTGGAGAGTGGAATTTGGGGAAGCAGGACTGTGATGCCATACAGTCCACCTCCAAGATCTGTTACTGTCTCCAAGGGAACTGTGTAGTCGGGAGATCAGTTGTAATTCTAGGAGACCTTCCGTTCCCATCTGGAAGTTGGCTACCCTACATACAGCAAGCAGATTACAGGATTTGCATGGCAACCGGTTGAGAATGTCAACTAGTCAGTCTTGAACTGACTGGGACTAGCTGAAACACAGATAGTTACGATGCTGCACTTTTAAATTCGAAATACACAAAAACAAAGAACAAGTTCTTTCTGTTCATAAATAGGGAGCTATAAAAATGTATACAAAGATGAAAAGATAAATGTATGTTGCAGAGAAGCTGAGAGTGGGAGAGAAAGAAAGTGGGAGAAGTCAAAGACAGATTACAGGGTGGGATAAAGCCACAGCAAGGGCCTGCTGACAGGACAGCAGAATTCAGAAAATACGTATCTCAAGACGGTATCATCTTAATACATTTTCCAAATGTCTTCCCTTGTTTTTTAAGACCAAGCAGTATCCAGTATTCTTTCATATCTCTGAGGTGTAGAGCTTGTTTATTTATTATAATAATACTTTGCATTTATATGTTAGCACTTCTACAGTGCAGTCCGCAGTGGAGATAAACCGTTCTAAGCCCATTGAAACCAAGGGTGGAACTCTGCTTAGGATGGCACTGCTAAAAAAAAGAAAAAAGGAAGCTAGATTACGTCTATATTTTGTGGGCCCTGCCCTCTCCCCATCCCTGCTTCTGATGTTTTCAACACTTTTCTTCCAACCCAGTTTAAGGAATGTGACATCCCACATGTACACACACACACATGTTTTTATATATATATTTAATATCACAGCAATTAAGTTCCACACTTTGTGTGTTAGCAGAGCTGTGTTTTCTGTTTTGCAAATGTGTCATGCAGTTCCTAAATGAAATCAGGTCTCCTGTTGCCCGCGTGGGACTGGGTTTGTCTCTTAGCAGGACACGGAGGATTGAACCAGCTGGGTGGAGCCTTTGTGAACGGCCGACCCCTGCCAGAGGTGGTACGGCAACGCATTGTGGACTTGGCACACCAGGGCGTGAGGCCCTGTGACATCTCCAGACAGCTGCGAGTCAGCCACGGCTGCGTCAGCAAAATCCTGGGCAGGTAAGCATGAAGGTGGCAACTTAGAGCCAAGCAGCGGTTTATTTCTCTTCCGAGTGTCCAACCTGCCATTTTTGCCAGGCTCATACAGACAAAGAGTAATGTGTACCTTTCCTAAATTAAGGAATTGTTCTGGGGGCTGAGCAGACACTGTCACGGATGGCTAATTGAAAACCCGTAGGAAACAACTTTACTGAGCCCCAATTTTAAGCACAGAGGGATAACACGTTAATCTGTTTTCCTTGTCTCTGTGTGTTTTCCACATAGATTCAATTGTATTTCTCTCAGTGCACTTCTGAAAATGTTTCTGCATTCTCTTCCCTTCAAGGGGTTTTTTGGGGAAGCCCATTCATTCTAATTCCCTATCTGCTTCCCCAGTGAGTGTCTTCAAGCCATCTGCACAGAAGTCCCTCAGACCAATCCCAACTGTATTAAAGAGACTGACCAGTATGAGCTGGTTGGGTTTCTTCAGCCATTTGGGGATTCAGAAATTGTCCCTCCCTATCATTTTTGTGTGTGAAGATGGGCTAGTCTGCTCCTAGAGTTTAGTTACCCCTTTACAAGAGAGGCACGGTCTTCCATTGCCCGCCCTCGCCCACTGGGATGCAAAGAAGGAGCAATAATAATGAAACGGCTTGTGAGGCTGTATGGTCTCAAAGCAGCCACCTGGGAGCCGGTGATAATCAGGTAGACCTCCCAGGGCTGCCAGTTAACAATTGCATCTTCTTCTCCTAAGGCAGAAACCAATCCACTTTCTAGTAGCTAATTTCTTTTCTCAAATTAGCTGTCTCTCAAGGACTGAGAACATTTTATTTGAGCCTTTTTATCCAGTGTAATTTGCTTTTAAGAACAGTAAGATGGATAAGATTTTACAAAAGGTGGATTGTAGATCACTTTTCCTGAAAATATGAGGATAGATAGTTGAGCAAGTTTGGTGGGAGGAAAGAACAGGGTGAGACTGGAGTAGCTGGTTAATGGCTGGTAATCAGCAGGAATCAATTTTGAAATGTCAGATATTAGCTGGATATTATTATTATTATCATCATCATCATTATTATTATTGTTATTGTTGTTGTTGTTAACCATGCTTTTCTCCCCAGTGGAGAACCAAAGCAACTTACAACATAGTCTCCCCATTTTTATCCACACAACAACCCTGTCAGATGGGTGAGGCTGAGTGGCTGGCCCAAGGTCACCCAGCAATCTGCCACAGCAGTCTTGGCATTTGAACCTAGGTCCCCTGTTTCAAACCTGAGCCTTCCAGATCCTAATTCAATATTCAACCACTTCACCACACTATTAATTGGCCTTCATCCAATGTTAATAGGGTTGCCAAGTCTGGGTTGCAAAACACCTGGAGACTTTGGGGGTGGAGCCAGGAGAGGGTGTGGTTTGGGGAGGGGCCTCAGCATAATACAATGCCATAGAGTCCACCCTTCAAAGCAGCCATTTTCTCCAGGGGAGCTGATCTCTGTCGGCTGAGGATCAGTGGTAAAAGCGGGAGATCCCCAGGCCCCACCTGGAGGCTGGCAACCCTAAATGTTAAAAACCTCTCAGTAACACCCAAGGGTTTTTTCCTTACTGGTGTGGTAATCCTATTACTTTCTCTATTGGAGTAGGTACTACGAGACTGGCAGTATACGGCCAGGTGTTATTGGGGGCTCCAAGCCCAAGGTGGCAACACCCAAGGTGGTGGAGAAGATTGGCGACTACAAACGGCAGAATCCGACCATGTTTGCTTGGGAAATCCGGGACCGCCTCTTGGCAGAGGGTGTCTGTGACAATGACACCGTTCCCAGTGTGAGCTCCATCAACAGGTGAGAGCCTGAGAGGTGACCTTCTCCAGGGCATTATCCATAGCAAATTCTTCCAGTATCACAGCAGTGCTGAGAGTAGACACAAGGTTTTGTGCTTTTCCCCTAGGCATGCCCAACTAGTTGCCTCCTCCTTTCTCTTTCCAGGATCATTCGCACCAAAGTGCAACAGCCATTTAATCTCCCGCTGGACAACTGTGTGATGTCAAAAACCTTGAGCCCTGGTCATAACCTCAGTAAGTCTTTCCTCTGTGAATTGTGGGTCACGGTACTGCCTGACCTGACTCTGCTCTGCCCCAGGTTGTCACTCGAAGTTCAGAGGGCATTGCCCTGGCCAGATTACTGCTGGGACCAAGGAACAAATACATAAGGGAGTTATCAGGGTTGGTCCACAGATGGTGCCGGATACTAGAATCATATCACTTGTTAGGTGAGCGAGGTTTCTTCCAGGTCAGCATGCTGGAAGAAGTGACGCCTTTGACAGATTGCAGATTGTCCTTTCCTGGCACTGGATCTGCCAGTCTGGAATTCCCAGAAACTGAGGCCATTTTTCTGTGGCAACAGGGAGAGTCCCCGCTGTGTCATAGTTAAACCTGGAAGTAGACAGGGAAATAAGGACCATAGTTCTTGTTTTGAGGACTAGCGTCGCATATTTGTCAGCCTGAGTCCGGAATTCACTGTGCCGTAAGTTCCGTGGGCTCATTGGGTCCCACTGCTTATACTATTCTTTCTCTACACACATTTAAACTCATGGTCAAACTAGATGTGACACTGGGAGAGCCATAAATGGATCTTTCCAGCACTTTTCAAAAAGAAATAGCAGCTCTGTGGGCTCCCATGAGGGCGGGGACAGGGAGACTTTAACCCTTGACTCCATCCTCATTGTTTCAGCAGTCAAAACTGACCCTCCTGAGCCTTTATTACTCTGGAAGAGAAAAGGGCAAGCAACCTCTCTCTCCTGCTCTTTTTCACTTTCCAGAGCAATCACAGCCTTAAGGGCTGGGGTCATTTTCAGATAGTGCAACTGCATGGAGGAGGAGGAAGAGGAGATTAGATTTATACTGCACCCTTCACTACCCAAAGGAGTCTCAGCGTGGCTTACGATCGCCTTTCCCTCCCCCTCCCCACAACAGACACCCTGTGAGGTAGGTGGGGCTGAGAGAGCTCTTTGGTGTAGTTGTTAGGTGCACAGACTCTAATCTAGGAGAACCGGGTTTGATTCCCGGCTCCTCCACTTGCACCTGCTGGATGACCTTGGGCAAGCCATAGTTCTGGCACAGCTGTCCTTGAAAAAGAGCAGTTTCTGTCAGAGCTCTCTCAGCCCCACCTACCTCACAGGGTGTCTGTTGTGGGGAGGGGAAGAGGGAGGAGTTTGTAGGCCACTCTGAGACACTTTTGGGTAGTGAAGGGTGGGGTATAAATCCAATCTCTTATTTTTCTTCTTTTGAGGACTGCTCTTTCAAGAACAGCTCTGACAGAACTATGGCTTACCCATGGTCATCCAGCAGTTGCAAGTGGAGGAGTGGGGAATCAAACCTGGTTCTCCCAGATTAGAGTCCACTCACTTAACCACTACACCAAACTGGCTCTCCCCCCCCCCCACTTTCTCTAATCTAAATTGGGACCGTTCATGGCTGCTTATGTGCTTTGAAAAGTACTAGGAAAATGTGTTCACAGATCTCTCTGCATCAGGGCCCAGTTAGGCTTTTGTTGCTTGTTCCATTCTCCCGTACCCTTCCTCAGGTCTGTAGGCCCTGTCTCTGGAATGTTCTGATGCTCACCTGATTTCCCTCTACTGTGCCCTTTAGTTCCTAGCTCCACTGTGACTCCACCAGAGTCCCCTCAGTCGGATTCTCTGGGCTCCACCTACTCCATCAATGGTCTTCTGGGGATCGCTGTGCCTAGCAGTGACAACAAGCGGAAAATTGATGACAGTAAGTACTGTTGGACCACAGGAGGGTGTCGGGATGGGCTGTTACTGTTCAGTGTATTCTATAATTATTACTATGTTTTATTCCGGTTATATTCAGGTGGATAGCTGTGTTGGTCTGAAGCAATAGTTGATCTTAAAGGTGCCACTGGACTCAAACTTTGTTCTTATTCAGGTTATGATAGTATAGTCTGAAATTTAAAAACAACAACAACAATCTGGGCTGAGGCAAACCTACTAAAATGCGTAGACATTGGATGTTAACTTCCACACATAAACAGCCTCACTTCCTCAGCGCCCCCTCCCCACCACGATCTTTCAGCCTTTCCGCCGGTTGGCTCAGTGGCATAACCGTGTTTAACAAGAGGGTATGCTTGGAAATTCTACACTTTGAATTATCAGAACCAGCCCCTTGCAAAGCTTATCTTCAGCTGCAGAACTCAATTTTGTGCATGTTTAACCAGGAGGAAAACCAACAAAGTGACCGTTCAAGCTGATCAGAACATCAGACTTGCAGATTTGCTGTACTCTGGCTGTAAAGTCTAAATATTTAATTGGTTCAGGGCTAGCCTGTGCATGTTTACTCATAAAAGTGGGACTTTCTCACTTCTTCCTATCCATTTATGACCTGCTGCAGCTGCTAACTTTGGCCCGTTAAGACACTCCAGGCCACTTGCTGCTACAATGATCACCTACACACTGACTCACACTCATGCTGGCAGTTCTACAGAAACCCGCCAGCTCCGTTTCATCTGCTGAATTTCTCCCTGAACACTCATGGCTTCATTGCTGTATTAGATTTCTGCCCAGAGATTTATTCCAGTGCACTGGGAATTTTATATTACAACCATTTGTCCTTTCAATCAGAAATTTCATACGGTGGATCTTTTTGGCAATTGGATAGGAACAATCCTGACTTAAGAAAAATCAGATGAAAAATGCTTGAGTCATAGCAGTTTTGGGGCTGTAGCCAGGTTTTTTTAATTCGGGGGGCCTTTAAATAAGTCACGCTCACCAGTAGGAGCACCTGTAAACCGCTTGGAGCCAAGAAGGCTCCTAAGTTCTCCTGAGTAAATGCCTGAAAGAAGCAGAGTGGCCGGTTGGGGAAGGGGTGGTGGTGGCGGCAGGAAGTCAGGGGGCCTAGGCAGGAAGTCAGGGCTCCGGGCCCCAAAATGCCCCACTGTAGCTATGGGCCTGAGCAGTTTAAATTTTGGAGGGAAACTTTTTAAAGTTAACTTCATGTACCACAGAGGTTAAGAAAAGAAGAGTTACAAGCACAATTTCAAGTTCTGATTTCTGTTTGAACATTACCATATGCTGTGCCCTGAGCTGAATGGGCCAGGCTATCCCGATCTCTTCAGATCTCAGAAGCTAACCAGGGTTGGCCCAGGTTAGTATTTGTATGGGAGACCACGACGGAAGACCAGGGTTGCTATGCAGAGGCAGGGCAACGGCAAACCTCCTCTGAACGTCTCTTGCCTTGGAAACCCCACAGGGGGGTCGCCATAAGTCGGCTGTGACTTGCCAGGGCTGTCCATATGCTGCCCTTCCATCTTACACAGGGTAGTGTTCACATGGGAAGCAGAACATAGCTTTGTAATCATTCTTCCTGTTTTATTTTATTTTGTACTTTTATGGTATATGAAAGAACAAGCAGTCAATATTTGAACAGTGATAACTGGGGCATTTTTCATTCAGTTTCTCTGAAATTTCTTCTTTTTTCATTCAGGAGTTACTTCATGCCAGATTTAATGCTGGTAGGGCAAATCATCTCTATTTTATAATAGAATTTTAGTGACTTTGATGAGACAGTACTGACTCTTCTCCACTCTTACTGGCTATAAATTGCTTGCTTGGCCTAAATTGCTTGGACTGTGTTCCCCATTGACATAAACAACAATTTTTTAATGTTTAACTTTAAAGCTACAAAACAGATTTTCATCACACCAGCTAAAGGAGCATCCCAATAACATTCTTGAATATTTGAAATTACCAAATGACGGCAGCAGATGGGAGATGAGATCTAGACACCCCACCCCAGACACCCCATTTTGTATCCCTGCCCAAGAAGACACTGAGCCCATATACCCCCTGGCACCAAGTGAAAGAGACATCAGGAAGCTGTTTTAGAAGATCACGCCTGGGGGCATGTTGCTAGCACAGCATTGCCAGAGATGTGTAGCTGAGGGACCTTGTCTCTCTGGTGAACCCCCTTGATCACAGCGTGGCATTCTGCTGAAGACGAGGGCACACTTTATATTTTAATGTTCTAAGGCCGTCAGTGACTTTGATCTGGCCTTTTCTCTAATTAAAACCCTTTTGTCCCCTAGATGTGACGAGATAGCTACATTTTGATATTAGGGTGAGTTGGTGGTTTTTTTCAAGATGTCAAATTGTTGTCAGCCTTGGAAATTGTCCAGTGTTATGTATGGGGAAATGGAATAATTTATTTTCCCCTTCCTGTTATAATGGTGTTTACCTTTGGGATTGTGAAACAGTTCTTTCTGGGGCTGATAAATATTCAGTTGCTGTTAAACTGGTACTTACTTGAGGAACAATGTGATTTTTTTTGGGGGGGTGCAGTTTGGGATTTACACTGCAGATTGCGTAAATCATTTGTGATGTCCTCTTTGGAGATTGTGTAACAAGGAGAGGGGTTTGGCTGTTAATATTATATTTATGTGAAGGATTATGAAATAGCCTTTTTGCACTGCTGCTCAGTTTTCCCTTATGGCCAAATGTGGTTTACCCTTAGAATAGGTCCCCCCCCCTTCCATTTCCTCTGCTACACTGATGACTACCCTGAGCAGTGCACAATAACTCCTTGTGAGATCTATTTTTGATATTGTGCAATAATTATTGGACTTTTTGTCATGTCAGCTTTTTTTACTGCTCTGTAATTTTCTTGCATTGTAGAAATTGTCTTTGTTCTTGAATTGAGTAATATTTTTACAAACAATTGGTATCCATTTTATGATGTAATCTTGTGCAGTTATTAAAGTAGGCTTGCCATTTCCATGATGGGGGCGAGGGCTTACCTGCTTTCTGTGGGCCCAATCTGCTGCCGGACAGCAGGGGAGTCCCGCCCCCAAAGAGACCCATCCGCGCCAACATGCCTGGCACAATTATGTCACCCAGAGGTGATGCCATCACACAGGGCACATTGCATGAGGGACACTAGCGTTTTAGAAAAAACTCTATGGTTACCATAGAATTTTCCCCTCAAATGCTAGAGCATCCCCCCTGCAACATGCCCTGCGTGGTGATGTCACGTCTGGGTGACGTCATTGCAGTACTCACACTTTGCCCATGCACTGAAAAGAGGGACCCCCCCACCGACAGCCAGGTAAGACCTGGCAACTGTGATTTGGCTTACTGTGATTTGGCTACTGCATAATTAGTTTGCTCTGGAGCCTTCGTTCCTGAGCTAAGACAAAAATGTGTGAGCCGAAGGCTAAAAAACTATGAGCTAGCTCCCACTAACTCAGCTTAGAGGGAACACTGGCTGAAAGATCCATTAGTAAGTTAATGTAATGAATGTTTGAATACCTCTACACTCTCAGACAGATTCTGGGTTTGATGCAGGGGATATCCCTAATATACAAAAGCAGAAAAGAACCTTTGTGAATTATATCCAAGCTGTATATGATATTCCTAGAGGTTAATTAATTATTATTTTTAAAGACAAAATGACAATTGTAAGAAACATTATAACCTTCAAAACCATGTTTAGGAATAACTGATGCAATCTTAAACAGAAGTAAATTGAGTTAGCCATTTGGGTCCTATATGGGGCATTTCAGGACTGGAGGAGGTGCATAGAGGTGCATACATATGTGTTTCCCACCTATCATGTATATGGAGCCCATAACTTTCCCAAGGCCTCTCCATTTCTCCTTTGCACTTTGACTTTGGTATGTTATTTACTTACTGATGTGGTCTGCTGTGCTATTCTAGTCTCGCATGAATGCACCTAGACATTTAAAGTCAAAACAGGCAAGTCTTAAGAGTTTGGCAGGCATGAACTAGAGCAGTTGCTCCACCATCATTCCAGACATGCCAGCACAGCCAGGGGGCAGAATGCGACTATCTGAAGACCTCATCATTGTCTGCAAGGTCAGATCAAGTTTCCAGCCCTTATGGCAGCAAAGGTATGCTTGAGTGTGCATGGGTTTGGCCTGTGGCAATCTGTGCATACGTTTTCCAGCAGTTGGGAAGGGTGCTTCAGGAACCCTCCCCAGGACTTTAAACCAAAATAAACTAAACAAAGTAAAAGAAATCCTGTACATTAGTCTACCTCATTCAAGTCACAAAATGGAGCTTTTCACATGTGTGGCAGAGGTCACACCACAGCTTGGTAATCTGAAGTGATGCTTTGTTTGGTCCTTCTTACTTAACCCTGGAAATGAGAGAGAAACCGCCACACCAAATGGCATCCCCTTGGCTGTGTCAGGGGTGAAGGACCTCACGTGGAGTCTGTAGATATTCTGTCTCTAACAAATGACTGTAAGTGGCTTCTAAACATTTCTGCAGTGCTCTGAGGGGAGTCAGAGTATGTTTAATAGTCCTGGAGACTATGGGTCTCCTTCTCAGTCCCAAGGCCCCCCTCGCTGCTTCTTTCCAGCACCATGTTTCCATTCCATTGCCATTAACACTCCCCACCCCCGCAGTGGTTGGGACCTGTTGTGTGCACACCCAGGGAAATACTAAACTAGAATTTTGGACACTAGTCAACTTTTGTCTTTTACAAATGATGCATCCATGTACACCAGGAGGCTGGCAACCACTTGTAGATCCTCCCAGTATGCCCTGTCACCATGTAGTCTGAAAAAACATATGTATTTTCTGTGCATGGACCTCCTTAGTACTCAGAAACTGAGAACTGGTTTTTCCAGGGTTCTGGTTCACATATACCAGCATTCAAAATACGTGTATTGTCCCCGCTCAGACAACACTGCAGCCACACATATTGGGAGCACTGTGAGTGGCACTCTCCTGATACACACAGCTGCCAGGCACTCAGGTCGTGCGGACTTACAGTCTGTAAAGGGCTGGTGCATCAGGGGGATTCATGGGAATGTACGCTGACTTCATCCGTAGTGACCTAAAAAGGTTAGTCAAGAATAGAAAAGGGCCAACTCTAAAAATCTAATTATAAAACATACAAAAATATACATGTATTTATTAAACACAAATTAAAATAACAAATAAGGGCCCATTCATACCTCATATACAAAAATAAAAATACAAAGGCTGATGAAATAGACCTAACGCGTTTCGGCCTTTACAGGCCTTTCTCAGAGGTCTAATGCAAATAGAGGTCTATTTCATCAGCCTTTGTATTTTTATATTTGTATATGAGGTATGAATGGGCCCTTATTTGTTATTTTAATTTGTGTTTAATAAATACATGTATATTTTTGTATGTTTTATAATTAGATTTTTAGAGTTGGCCCTTTTCGATTCTTGACTAACCTTTTTAGGTTCTGAATTCTAGGTTTTAGGTTCAGGTTTTCCCCCCTTTTCCCTTTTTCATCCATAGTGAACAATCCCTGGGCTTTTGAAAAAGCATTTGAAAGGGTCAGGCAGAGCTAGCAAGAGAACATAAAGCGGACACATTTACAGAAGAGAGTGTCACTGAGCAGCAGGATGCTAAATGAGTTCTTAACGATGAGTGGGGGGGACAGGGTGAGGGATCAACAAAGACACCTTGGTAACCACCACCCTCTCATACCTTTATCTCATGAGGGCATGACCTGGCTGGAGAAGGTGGAGTAAAAACACAACCTGAACCATTGCAAGGAATGTGCCCTTGCAGAGAGGCTACATCACCAAGGGATTGTTGTGTGAAACAGCAACAGATATGGGAGGGTGACCTTTCGTACAGACTTAAAACCCAGCAGGAGAGCTTGTGCTGTGCTCTGTGGTGTGCTTAGCCAGGCACAGACTGGTTTGACCTAGGCAAGAAGGGAGGAAAGGGGTAAGAGGTGGAGCCCTTTGCCAGCCATAATATAACATATCCATAGAGGATTGCTTTTCCATTTCCTGTCTCAGATATTTTATAAAACTTAGTTGTGACCAGAAGCCCAAGCCCTTGGATGTAAGCCAAAGGGCAAGAACCAAAAAGAGACCTTTTGGCTCATAGCCTGTTTGCAGCCTGTCTTCATTCAAGCCAGCCGGTGATTCCAGGACCAGCCTGACATGCACTTTTTTTTGGTCTGAGAACGTGTGCTTGCACACGAAAGCTTACACTTTAAATAAAACTTTGTTGGTCTTAAGAAGAAGAAGACGATATTGGATTTATACCCCGCCCTTCACTACCCAAAGGAGTCTCAGAGCGGCTTACAAACTCCTTTCCCTTCCCCTCCCCACAACAGACACCCTGTGAGGTAGGTGGGGCTGAGAGAGCTCTGACAGAAACTGCTCTTTTTTCAAGAACAGCTGTGCCAGAACTATGGCTTGCCCAAGGTCATTCAGCCAGGTGCAAGTGGAGGAGTGGGGAATCAAACCCGGTTCTCCCAGATTAGAGTCCGCGCACTTAACCACTACACCAAACTGGCCACCAAGGTGCCACTGGACTCAGACTTTGTTCTGCTGCTTCAGACCAACACGGCTACCCCACCCGAATGTACTTGTTATGTTTTTGTTTTGTTTGTTTGTTGTGCTTTGGTCTATTTATGTATTTTTCTAGTTGTAAGCCACTTTGGATCCTTTTTGGAGACAAAGTGGGATATAAATGCATAGATCAATAACCTTTGGCAGGTGACCAAGAAAGCTGTCGGCTCAGCACAGACTCCCAAGGCAGCAGCAACTCCTCCCACAAACACCTGCGCAGTGAAACCTACGGGCAGCACCTCCTGGAGTGCCCCTTTGAAAGACAGCACTGCCCGGAGGCCTATGCTTCCCCCAGCCACGCCAAGGGAGAGCAGGTGTGTATTAGCTCACTGGGCTTGTGTCTGTTTTTTTAAGCAGTATGTGGTGAGGAAGGGGGCAGCAAGAGGTTGGAGGGGTAGGGTACGAGGCTGAGTCAGGGGCTTGGGTACCTCTGATTCATCAGGAGGATTGAGTCCTGGTTGATACTAGAGGGATCTAGGGGAATAAGCAGGGAAGCGGTTTAGGAGCTGATGGCATGTGAATGGCTGTCTGTCTAGGAGACAGGTGGAGAAGCAGGAGAGCTGGAACCAATGTTCCCTCTAAGTTGTGGAGTCTTGTGAGCAAAAATTCTATGTTGTGAGCAACTGGCATTAAAGTTGTGAGTGAGCAATTTGGCTGCTGCATAAATCAGTTTGCTCTGGAGCCATCCTTCCTGAGCTAAGGCAAAAATGTGTGAGCCAGAGGCTAAAAAACTGTGAGCTAGCTCACACTAACTCAGCTTAAAGGGAACACTGGCTGGAACTGAAAGAGGCACTGAGCTCCCTCCGCATTCCTCCCCCTCCCCAGGGTATTTATGCATTGCCCCTGCTGAACAGTGCCATGGATGAAGGCAAAGCCATGCTGACGCCTTCCAACACACCACTTAGCCGCAACCTGGCTGCCCACCAGACATACTCTGCTGTGACAGGTAAGGGCCACCCTTTCCTGGGACCCCTAGGCCTCCTCCTGGATGTGTTATATTCCATGCACCAGCCTCAGAGGAAGTTGCAGATCACCAATGCACAGAACCCTGGGCCCAGGAGAGGAAAGCGGGATCCCCTGGACTGGTTCTAGGCAGATTTCTGGCATCTCTAACCCCCCAGTAGGTGGTCAGACAAGGGCCTGCAGATCCTGAAATGGTCTCTGCAAAGCCTCACCCTAAGTATTTTGGCCTTTTCAATCCCATTCCATCCCTGTACTGCACCAGGGTCACAGACATTGTCATAGATTTCTGCTCATTTTCATTTCATGTCTCCCTTTCCCACCATTCCTCTTCCTCTACCCCATCTTAGTCCCATCAGATCCCTCTTTGCCCTTCCTTGTGAAGCAGGAACCCCCTGAAGTCTGCAGTACTCGCTCCACCCCTTCCTCCTTATCTAGCCCTGCATTTTTGGACTATCAGCAAATTGGCACCGGAGGCTCTGTCCTGCCTTGCAATGCCTTTTCTCACACGACCTCTGCCTATGGCCAGTTCACAGGCCAGGCCTTTGTCTCAGGTATGACGATAAAGCGAATGCATTGTGGGATAGGTTGCTGAAATGCAATATGGGATGAACAGCTGGGCCCCTGTCGTAGTTAGCTGGTGTCTGAAACATGATTGCTATAAATTTATTTATTTATCGCATTTATATCCCGCCCATCCTGTAATGTTTAGGTTTTGTACAGAGGAAGTTATTCCAGAGATCTGCCGGGGTAGGTAGAAACCGTCTGTCATTCTCAGCAAGTGAATGCCCCAGAGACTGGTAAAATGATGAGTCTGAAGGTGTACCACCTTGTACAGCAACCTTGGGGAGGGCACAGATGGCAGACCACAGTCTTAAAAATCAGGTTAAAATCTTCCATGACACCCCCTATTTACAGGCCAACAGCAGAAGTGTCTGTCCCCTACCATGTGTGTGGGACTGATGATAAAACAGCATAGCCTGTCTGTCATGGAAGGCAAGAAGTCATGACTTTGCAACATGTGGTGTAACTACTAAGATCTGGAGGAAGCCTGGGAGGTTTTGACACCAGGCTCAAAATTATCTTTGTCAGTCTAGCCAAATAATCGCTTAGGCACAAGGGTTATCAGTGCACTAACAGAATCTCCAGGGTCGAATCAACCAGTTCATAGTTCTTTCCAACCTTAGGAAAGTTTATTTATATCTCAACTTTTAATCATATATGGGACCCATGGAGTGGCTCACAGCAGTGTTTAGAAACAACATAAAACAATCCACAGTGGTAAAACAGCAAGATAAAAAGCACAACCGCAAGGCCAAGAACAGACAAAGTAACAACAAAAAGTACAATTAATCTTCCAAGTTACATCCAAAGTAGCTTTTTTAACACACCAAAATACTAATGAGGAGGAAGCAAGCTGGAGCTCCTCCAGCAGGGCATTCCAGAATCACAACATCCAAACTGAGTCAAGACGGGACCTTCCAACCCTCCACATTCCAAAAGCAAAAGGGTGGAGTATCAGTCTCCTCACATCACATTCTGTGACCGGCCCTCCAGGAAGGAGAGCAGCCACCCAGTCCCATACAGGGAAGCCCAGAAGAATACCATGGTGAATGATAGCAAATGCTGCTTAGAGATGAAGAAGAACCAAGCGGGATGCTTTCCACAAGTTCATCTCCCAATGCAGGTTGTCAGCTGAGAGATACCAAGCTTTGCTCTCTGTTTCAGAAGAAGGTTGGGATCAAGTACAATGTGGATCTGCATAACCAATATCAATCCAGGAGTTTTGTGAGCTGTGCTGCTACCTCATGCTTGAACATCAAGGCCAAAAACTGGATGCTGGAGACCACCCCACAGTTGTCACAGTTGGAAAGGGTTGAGGGAGGGTTATTTCCCAAGTGGCCTCACCACAGCCTCTTTTGAGTGGTGATGACCCCTCCCTCCCTCCCTCAGAGACCCCCCCCCCCCAATGGCTGTCTCTACAATGAGGCAAGGTGAGGAGGTGCCTTGAGTGGCTGACTGAAGGGGATGGTAGACTCCTCCTCCACGACTGTTGCTAGAACAGCTAACTCTACCCCCATCCCCTCTGTACCCCAGGCATCTTTAAAGACTGTGACATGAGACCAAGAAGCCTCACTGGGCAGTCTTTAAAGATGAAAACAAACCATAATCCATGTATTGCCTTTTACTAGGACCAGTTACAATGACACAAAAGAGTGTGTGAGCTTCCAGGTTTATCAGAACTGTCCCTCAGGCTGGAAGTTACAAGATTTAATTTAAAGAAGAAGAAGAAGTGGAGGGGAAAGGAGATGTTTCAGGCTGTGGTTGTAAAGGCCTGTTCACCCCATCCTCTCTGTGCTGAATGCTGGTGGGCGAGTAGGTATGCACTGGTGGTACCTTCAATGTCAAATGGCACTCTAGCTCCTCTGAGCAAGGGAAACAAAAACACAAAATGGTGTTCATCGATTACAGCTGCAAACAACTTTTGTCTTTAAAGACGCCTTGGGCACCCCTGTTTTAAGCTGCCACTGCCACTGCCACCCCATCCCATCTGGCATCGTTTGGCAGCCAGGAAAAGCAAGAGTCAAAATGTGCAATGGGGCTTTACCTCTCCAAGGATCCTCTCCACAACCACCAGAAAGCAAAACAGAACAAGCCGAAATCTTGAGAGAGAAATCAGTCCTTACCTGCAAAAGGGCACAGTGGGAGCCTGTCTCCTTCTGCAGACCCAGCTGTAGCAGGCTGGAAAAGCTCCGCTTCAGAGTATAGTGCACATTCTTTGCCACCATCTCAGCCATGGAGGAGACTCTGCACATGAGCTCTAGACTTGGGCCTCACTTGTTCTGAGGTTTCGAGCACTGTTGCTCCAGCTGCCATCCCTGCTGTTTCCTTGACAGTCAGAAAAACGTACTAATTATTAAAGGCAAAATGAGGTATCTATACAGCCTTTTAAACGGCAGAAGTGAGGGCGTTAAGACACCAGGAAATTCAACATAGAAATATCAGTGAAGAGGTTTCAGACAAAGAAGAAAGGAAAGACTTTTTTGGGCCTAGTCTTAAAACTGAAGTTTTGAAACAAGTGGCTTGCATGGGATAGAACAGATCGAGAAAGAAGTACTTTTCTCCCTTTCTCACAATACAAGAACTCATAGGCACTCAATGAAATTGATGGGTGGTCGGGTTAGAACGGATAAAAGGAAGTACTTCTTCACCCAAAGAGGGATTCACATGGAATTCACTGCCACAGGAGGTGGCGGCGGCTACTAGCATGGACGGCTTCAAAAAGGAATTAGATATACACATGGAGCAGAGGTTCATCAGTGGCTATTAGCCACAAGGTATAGATAGGAACTCTCAGTCTGGGGCAAGTGATGCACTGTATTCTTGGTGCTTGGGGGGGGGCGGGCAACAGTGGGAGGGCTTCTAGTGTCTTGGCCCCACTGCTGGACCTCCTGATGGCACCTGGTATTTTTGGCCGCTGTGTGACAGAGTGCTGGACTGGATGGGCCATTGGCCTGATCCAACATTGGCTTCTCTTTTGTTCTTATGTTTTTCATCAGATAGACTGTAGAGTGTCAGATCTCTACACAGTAAGAGCCTGGTAGATTCTCGTTCTCCCAGCATAGGCAGGGCTTGGATACCTGGCAGGTCCCCATTTATCTCAGATCTTTATGTGATCTCCCTTACTGGCTCTCCTTTAGGCAAATGGTCACTTGTCCACTCTCTCCTGTGCAAGGCAGGCAGAAATGGTTTAGGTGGGGCATCTGTCTGTGCCACTGCTGGTGTCTTTTGACTTCTCTCTCAGTTGTGTTTCTTCCCCTTGCAGGGCGTGAAGTGGTTGGTTCCACCTTGCCTGGCTACCCTCCCCACATCCCAGCCAATGGGCAGGGAAGCTACAGCTCTTCTGCAATTGCTGGCATGGTGGCAGGTAAGGCACACCGGGAGAAGACGTGGGAGCTGTGACAGCAGCTTTTGCATTTCACTAAAGGGCAGGTGTTAAAGGTGATGGGGATGGCTACTATGAAGGCTCACGGTGCCCCATGGCAAGGACTGCTCCATTCTCCAGAGCTTTCTTTCAGATGCCTCAGTCATGAGAGCACAACAAAGACCCTGTCATCCCAATGAAATATATGCTAAGCTACTTCCAGCATTATGGAGTACATTGGTTAGGTCTGGAGTTCCTGGCCCACGTAACAGTCAGATTGAGTGACAGGTTCTTCACTCAGTCCACACACACACACACCAATTTATCAAACATGAGAAGTTAAAAGGAAGCTGCAAAGTTGGAAGGGTTACTTATAAAAGCAGTATAAATGAGGCTCAAATAAAATACCATAGATTAGAACAGGCACAGATTAAACAGGCAAAATGACTTTCTTTTAAGGTAAGTGGAGACACTACCCAAATGGAGGAGGGGGGAAAGAGCACAAACAAAATGTACAGCTTAACAGTGTGCAATCCTAAACAGAGTTACCCCAGTCTAAACCCATTAAAATCAATTTGCTTAAGAGTGGAGTAAGTCTTCTTAGGATTGTACTGTAAGGCTGTCAAACAATTAAGGATTTGTAGTGGATTTTAGCTGCTTTTAAACTGATTCTTTAATCCATTAGATGGATATTTTTTGTGCTTGTTATGGACATTTCAACAAAGGTTGCTTCTGCGTGAAGGTTTTTCTCCGCCTCTGTTTCCAAACTGGAGCATTGGGATTTTTTTTTGGGGGGGGGGGGGCTTCAAACATCCATGATGACCTGTCCTTTAATTGTCGTCTTTCCAAGTTTTCCCCATCCTCAGTACACTCATTCCCAAACCAGCTTTAGTACGGCCTTTTTGGAAATAACACTTTCCAAGCATGCTGTCCTGCTGCCTGGATGAGATGATGCACATTTTGGAAAGTCCTGCCCACATCAGTGCCATTTTCCTGCTGTCAGCCATTCATGGCTGCCTTTTTCCTGTGCTCATTAAAAGGCTTTTTTTAGGGCTTTTAAAAACAATAATCAGTGATGGCCACAATGTTGTGGCGCTGCAGTGCTATAGCATTTACCATATTTTTAAAGAGCCCTCAAAAACCCCTCCAGTGGCACGACAAGGAAAATGGTAGGCGTGAAGGGCTGACAATGGGAAACTGCGCAGAAAACTCCTGTGGGAAAGCTCCATCGCTGATGCACTTGCCACTGCAGTTGCACAGGTAATAAGAGCAACGCCGAGAATCCTGGCCATTTGGAAGCAGCCAAAGAGGCATTTTTAAATACAGTATTCTTGATACAGAGCTGCGGTGGCTCAAGTGGTTAAGACGCTGAACTGCAGGCTGTGGAAGGTCAGTAGTTCAGCAGTTTGAGACCCGGGTGCCGCATGATGGAGTGAGCTCCCATCTCTAGTTCCAGCTCCTGCCAACCTAGCAGTTCGAAAGCAAGAAATTGCAAGTAGATAAATAGGTACCACTTCAGTGGGAAGGTAACAGCGTTCCGTGCACCTTGGTGTTTAGTCATGCCGGCCACATGACCACGGAAACGTCTTCGGACAGCGCTGGCTCTGTGGCTTTGAAACGGAGATGAGCACCGCAACCCTAGAGTCGGATTCGACTGGCTTTCGAGCAAGGGAACCTTTGCCTTTACCTTTTATTCTTGATACATAAGATCAAGAACAAAAGCCACCTCTTGCTGTTAGAAGAATATCATCTTTTCTGCTATCTTTTCCCTTCTCTGTTACAGCAACACACCATACCCAAAATAGCCTTGGCAAATAACCAGGCATGCCCTTGGGTGACAGCCGTGTTGTCAACAAAAACTTAAGGCAGCATCCCTAAAAGCAAGACCATGCTTGCTGACCCTAGATTAACTGGCCTGGAATGATGACCAAGCCCCTCTTGTGTACTTGGATTTTTTCCTCACTGACTGAATTTTCTCTTCCACATCTAATTGTACTCGGAAATTCCCAGTCCATTTTGTTCTCCGTGGTCATCCTGATTCTGAGCCCAGTGCAGCTGTAGGCACTTAGTCCACCCAAAATAATGTCCTGTGTTTTCAGAAGGTGCTTCGACCAAGAATTTAGGTCCTGCAATACAGCTGCAGCCCAGCCCAGGCCAGTCCCAGGCCAGTCAGACAGCAGGGACAAATCTTGCGGGAGCAATTGGCCTCGCAGCCTCCCCTCTCTTCCTTTCGCCGTACAATTTAGCATCGCCCCATCACCTCTGGCCATTCTACTTCTTTAAAAAGAATATGAAATATTATATCATAAAAAACTGCTTCTGAGCATGACAGAGGCCATCTTCCGCTCCCCACTGTAAAACTGCAAAGTGCTCCCAAACTCGTAGAATTTTTGGAGAGGACAGATTGTAGGGCGTCCATGCAAGGCTGGGCTGGAACACTGCTGCCCCTCATCTTCCTTGACAGCCTTTTGAGAGCCCTGGCCATTCCCTCCCACTCCAAGCTTACAGTTTATTGGTGGTTCCACTGAATCTAAAGCTGGTAGTCTGTTTCAGACCATGCCTACTACTTTTCATTAAAGCCCCACTGCAGCTCTCTGGGGAAGAGGGGTTAACGCGGCTCCCCTAGGAAGGTTTGATTATTTTTTTTTTTGCTGGCAGTGGCACCTTGCCAGGTGGGTGAAGAGAAGCTGGCACACAGGCGGGCGCAGTTCCCTTGGGCTGGGACGTGCTGAGCTGGCGTGTTGCTGTGTTACCTTGGAGATGTGCTTAATGCAGCGTTGAGAATACAGAATCTTCTCCCCCTGTGCGCTCCCTCCCCTCAAGCGTGAAATGAGATTGGTCAGGAGAAGAAAGGAGAGACTGGGGGTTGTTTTTGTACCGCTTGTAATGAGGATACTCAATCAAATGCCCCTTGAAATCCAATCCCCCACCCCCATGGAAGCTCCTGCCTCTCCCCCACCCCACCCCTCTCTGGGAGACAAATGTTTGTATAAGCGGCTCTCTTACCTGTACATATTCCTTCCTTCTGCCTACCTATTCGGTTACTTTTTACCCTACCATTCCTTCCCTGTCCTTCTCTGTGGAGCCCACAGCAGTGTCCTCAATTCTTCCTTCCACTGTGGTATGCTCACAACAACCCCGTGAGGTAGGTTAGGCTCAGAGAGAGAGAGAGAGAGAGAGAGAGAGAGAGAAAGGGCTAGCCCAGGGTCATGAAGAATGTTCCCTCTAAGCTTTGTAGTCTTGTGAGCAAAAATTCTACTTTGTGAGCTACTGGCATTAAAGTTGTGAGCGATTTCACTACTGCATAAATTAATTGGCTCTGGAGCCATCCTTCCTGAGCTGAGACATAAATGTGTGAGCTGGAGGCTAAAAAACTGTGAGCTAGCTCACACTAACTCAGCTTAGAGGGAACACTGGTCATGAACTGACCTTCATAGCTCAGTAGGGATTTCACAGAGGAGGCCTGTAAGATCGTGGCCTGGGAAAGGGTGCTTCCCACCCCTGTGGCTTTTTAAATTTTATAACAATCACCCAATGGAGAATTCTGATGAAACACGAAAGTGTTCATCCTGTTTTGTGTCAGTTTGTTTGGTCCTGAAAAAAATGTATCCCCTGGATTTTGTTCTTGCAGATTTAAACCCAGGTCCCCCCAAGAACATTGTACAATATTCTCTGCACTGGATCACACTGGCTGTCCTCCTGACACCACACAGGCTGATCTGGCATGCACAATATTCTTGTGGTTAACTGGATGCACATGGCTGAAAGCAAAACACTTAAAACATTGTATAAGAGTCTGGAAAAAATACAACACCCCCCCCCCCAACACTCAGAAACCAACACAGATAACAGCCAGCAGATATAAACATTTCCCAGAACTTCAAGCAAACTCTTGCCAGCTTTGCAGATAAGAAAAGCTTTCTGGAACCTGGAGCTGGCAACCCTAGTCTCTCGGGAGGTTTCTCTTACTCTGTTCCCTGCAAAACATTTTGCTCCCGGATGGGAAGCTGCTGCGTAGGTGTGAGACCGTGCCAACTGAGGTTGCCCAGCCCACCCTGCAGGGAAGGAAGTAAGGAGGCAGAGGCAGACCGCCCACGTGCCACTCTAAGCAGCCCCTCTCTCTAACCTAGGAAATCTCCCCATCTACCTTGGCTTTTCCACTGCATCCATTCCTATTTCCCCTTCCTTTCCCCTTCTTTCATACTAGCACCTACAGCCTGAGCCTACACATTTTTACTTCTAAGTAAGTCACACTGAGGTCAGCAGCAAGTGTGCAAAAATGTAGCTGTAATTGTGTGTGCCTCTTGATTCTACGCATTTCTCTTGCTCTTTTTCTCCCTCTTTTTCCATCTCCCCCCCCCCGCCCACCAGAACGGTTGCACCGCAGCTAATGACTTTTTAAATGTCAGTACAGTACTTGGTTTCTCAAATGAGAAGGTGCCAGAGCTTGAAGTCATATTCTCTGCCAAGGAAACTTGCTGCTCTTCCCAAATTCCTAATATGAGAAAATTGGATGTTATCCAGGATGTAGAAGGTTCCAGAACTGGGTCTCTGTATTCTGAATCGGCCTGTGGTTGTTACTCTGGGGCAGCAGGCTGGCATTGAAATTTAGCGGCTGAATGCTGGTCTGCTTCTACATCGAGAAGATTCCCATGTAGCTCTTACGACTGCTGCAAATGCCTTTGCACCCACAGTGGCAATGGAGCATCTACACAGACGTTTTCACAGCACATTCATTGCTTCCGTTCTCCTTGGCTGCTATTACCCCTTCTGCCACCGGAGGGCTTTTTTAGCCTTTTTTTAAAAAAGGTAGTAGCTATATTGTTGTAATGCTATAATAATCTATTGCAGCACTGTACATGTTCCCAGTTTTCATTTTTTAACAAAAATAAGTATCTAGCCCTTTTTGTTGTGTAATTGTAAAGAGAATTGTGCAGCCAATGTATTTCCCCTTTTAACTCCACAATGAAAAGGAATAAAGACTTGAATTCTAAAACGAAAGCTGAGAACTAGTATGTTATTGTAATAGATTGTTATAACTTTATAGTGCTCTAATTATTCGTGATTTTTTTTAAAGCTCTAAAAAACCCTCCGGTGGGGGTGTGTGGTGGAAACAGCAGCTGCAGTAATTGAGATTAGGAAAATGCTAATGTGGGTGGGGCCTGCAAACATGTGCATTTTCCTGTCCATACAATGTCCAAAGGTGTTTTGACTGCAATCTTTCCAAAAAGATCATACCAAACCAGATTTTAGAAAGACTGGATCAAAGCAGGGGGGAACATAGACAAGGGGACAACGTTATACAGATGTTCCTCAAAACTGCACTGAAGTAAGGAAACCAAGGCAAAGCAAAACCTCCGTGTGGGAAGAGTGCTGTTGGCAAAATAAATAAATAAAAATAAATTGAAGATGGAATAATGTTGGAGTGTGACCCTCATTTTGCATTATAGCTTCTTGCATTAATGTTTTGTTGTTGCAAGAACAAAACATGAGAAGGGGAAGGTTCCCATTTACCCTGCATTACTCTGAGCTCCTTGGAGAAAGGGAGAGATATAAATGTGAAAAATGGAACAGGGGGGGAAAAGTATGGGGCACGTAAAGAAACCAACCATCTCCCGAGATGTTAAGCTAATTTAATCTTTGTAGTGGGTACAAAATGCTTTGCCTGTTTAATGCCTGGTTAATACAATTATACAGATAAATTCCAATTCGGCAGTTATTTACACTGCAACAAATCAGTCTTTAAGGTGCCACAAAACTCTTTGATTGTTCATAAGGAAGGAAAGCAATTGCAACATCCATTAAAATATATACTGCCATGGCACTATTCATTCATTGCTAGATGTTGTAAGTATTATATATTTAATGTTGGGGGGAAATTAAAAGAAATTACCTCCCAGGATGCTGCAAGTTATTTTCTACGACCCTCTACTGAGAAACTATTGAAGGAGTAGTGGCTGCAGAGTTGTACCTTACTCGAGGGGACAAAATGCCTTGAACCACCCTTGTCTCTGTTTCCCCTTACAAGTCCCAAGGCTATGAGACTGATCAGGAGACCAGTTGTTGGCCTAACACTGACACTGCTGCAGGATGACCAGGGAGGGAAATATACCCCATGCACTCCAAATCAGAAGAGTTTGGGAACTGTGGCATTCCAGACTTTTAGACTGCCACCTTCTGCCCAAAGCTACTGACAACATCCGGAACTGAGGCCACAAAATTGATGTGCATGGTTTGTTGCCTTCCTTGATCGCCTAAGGCAAGGCAACCATTTTGTCCAAAGCCTGAGTACTCCACAGAACAGGATAGAGAGCCCTTTCCTCAGACATCAGAGTTCCAGAGCGTCCCTTGCTTTGAACACTTTGATCTGTTAACTCTTAACTGTCACGGGGCCACCGTCATGGAGGCCCAGGATTGGCAGCTTGGGGGTCAGACAGACCTTTGGTCATTACACCCACCACCTGCACTTCATCTGACGTACACATAATATTGGAAAGCACCATTCCATTGTACTGCTTTGGCTACTAGAACATGTGCTTATTGTTTCCCCGGATAAAACCCCTTTGAAAGAAACTCAGCTTTGAAGTACATACAAATTTACCTTGCAAGATTTACGGTTGCAAAGTTGACACCGAGTTTCAAAAGATTTCTGGAAATGTTAACATTAGAATGTTTGAGAACTTGATTTGTGTGACGTACTGAAAATAAAAGGCTATGCAATTACTAAAAAAAAAAATTACACTTACATAGCCACTGTGCCTCAGGCAAGCAGCTAAAGTGCTGTGCTTGCTTTCTGTCCTGTTTTGGAAAGCTTCTCTCACGGTGTATCACAAAAGAAAGCACAAAAGCTGGACAGCCTTCTAAAGAGTCTTTTAAACAGTCCGCACCCTGGCATTCATTCACTCTTTTCTCTGTCACCAGCAGGAACTGATTATTCCGGGACCGCGTACAGCCACACCCCGTATTCGACCTATGGGGATACCTGGCGCTTCCCCAACTCAGGCCTACTGGGTAAGTGTCCTTGAAGTGTGGCGCGCAGACACAGGAGAATCTTGGTTTCTAGAGTTGCCTGAGAGCCCAGGGAAGAAATAAGATGGTTTCAGCTCCTCTGGGGCACTTCACGGACCAACTCTGGGACAGCCAGATCAGCTACGTGAGCTTATCTTTGCTCAAGCCTCAGAGGCACAGGGGAATAGGGATGGGAAACCCTGACCCTTTATGCATTGGAGAATCTGCACAGTCAAGCCTTTAAGCTTAACTTCAGATTTGTGTGCCTGCCTTATGTACTATTCTTTTTTCTCCACTGTGTTTCTGTGTATTCATTCTGCAGCTGCAACCAAAAACCGCAGTTTCTCTTAATTGGGATGGGAACATTACTTGTGACGTGGGGGAAGGTGGTGTCCAAAGGTTGTTTTTTTTTAAAAGCATGCAATTGTCCTATCACAGCTACACAGTTCCATCCATGTAGCACCTCCCATTTAAATCCTTGTGGTTCAGGTTTTGCACATGCCTTTTAGCATTAGTTTGTTGACTGAAAGGGAACTGGAAGGAAGGCAGGCAAAAGAGGAAACTGACCAGACTCTTTTTGAAATGTACAAGCAGCTGCCAAGCCCCCCTTTTTCCATGTTGCCCAACACTAGGGGATTCTCTGCTGTGTCATCAGCCAGAGTGAAAATGGGGAAAGAGTCACACAATCTCATCGTATGGGGGGAACATGTTGAGTGTACAGGATGCATGGTAGAACCCACTGACACGGGCATCGCAAGCTGTGATCGCTGGCAACATGTGTGTATGTCGCTCTCTCTATATGTGTGTAAATGCCAAGCTGCCTTTTGAAACATCAGCAGAGCAGCAGGAGGCTCAAGGCTGGGATGCAGAGGATGAAAGTCAGTTCCTGATGTTTCAAAAGGCAGCTTGGTGTTTACCTTTGTTTATGTGGTCACTCTTTGCTCCATCAGGCTGAAAACAATGCAAAAGTTCACCCCCCTTGCAATCTTTCCACCCACTGTTTTTTCCCTTGCAGGAGAGAGTGGGGGGTGGGAAAATTTAAAATTAAAAAAGCTAGTTGAAATAAGAGTTCAGAAGAAGCGGAGGGGATGGATCCTGCTCTGGTCAGGTGCTGCACTGCTCTTTGGGCCGGCTTTGTCTCTCCTCCTCTGGCTGCGCACGGCTCCTTCAGTGGGCGCCCAGCTGGCCTCTGCTCCTGCCTCCTCCCGCTTCTCCTTCCAGCTCAGGCATTGCCTCTCTCCAGACGTGCAGGGCAGTGGAGAGGGAGGGAAGGCAGCAGCTGCCCACCCTGCTGCCTCCTCCACTGTTCCTCCTCCTCCTTTCGCCTTGACTCAGTTCTGTCTTTGCTCTTGCCACCCGCCACCACTTCTCTGCTCCCTTCTTCCTTGGCCAGGGCAGCCGAAGTGGCAGCAGCAGCAGCTGTGGTGGTGTGCTGTTCTCTTCCTCGCTCTTGCTTTTGCCAGTCCGCCTTCTCACTTCCCCTCGGTGTGGCAAGAGCTCTCACTTGCAGCTGGCTCACCCCTGAAAGGGGTGTGTCCTGCAGTTGGGAGACATTCCTTGTTTTAAACAAGCAGCATGAGTCTAGCGTTTCGACTTATGCTGTTTCTAAAAAAAGGAGAAGGCAGCACGGAGCTGTGCCTGCGGGGAGCCATTGGTGAGCCCACCTGGGCAGCCCTCTCCTGCCGCCCTGTTTAAAACGGGTGGCGGGAGAGGGCAGCCCAGCCAGAAAACAAAACTTATACACCCCTTGTCCTTTTCCCCCACAACGAGGCGCAATTTTAATGTTAGGCAGAGTGGGAGGAACGACCTCAATGTGGGCAGTGGAGGAGCAGCCTCCAAGGGGTGGGAAAAGGGCAAGGAGGTAAAATCCGAGGGAATGTTTCTGCTTTGATTTGCCTTCGGCTTGGAAGGGAAGCAATGGGGAACATCGCTACAAAACCACTTTGAGAAAAGCCAGGGATTTAGCAAACGGTAAGCGAGCTGAGAGCTAAAGGGACAAAAATCAATGCACAATGAAAAAGCTAACCTGTTGAAAGCGGGGGGGGGGGGGATGGAGAACGAAAAAGAACACGTGACAGAGACATGTGGGGAAAGCGAGGGAAACCACCGGTGCATAAAAGGCCACAGTCTTCCTTGCCAATATAAAGCCTCTGGATTAGCAAGGCCTGGAGAAAATACTGGGAACTCAACCTGGTGCTCTTGCCCCGCAACACATATGGCAAAAAACAGAAATATTCCATCCCATGTCTTTCATTTCTTTTTCTCTAATGCTACAAGTCCCAAGACAACCAAAACCACCTTAACTTCCAGTACCGTTGTCTGTTTCAATGACCCACAGGTTGAGAGTGGGGGTTTTAAGCAGAGCTTCCAAAGATCCCTAAGAAAAATAAGGGAATGCAGTGGAGGCGTGCTGCTACTGTGTGGCAAGGAAAGAGAAAGAGAGTTGGTACTTGGCAGCCTCGGTGGAAGTGGAGAGGATGAGACTGCATCATTTTGGCTGACAGAGCAGCACAAAAGAATTTCAAAGGGATTCAGGATGAGACCAGGATGAGACTCTATGGATTTCCTGGCTCTGACGAAGTTAAGGGGAGGAGGGGCTTCCCAGAAAGGTGGCAAAAAAGAGATTGCATCCAGGCAGAGCAGACAAAAGGGCTGGCAGGGCGAAGGCTTCCCTCGTGCCTTCATGCCATGACAAAAGGAAAGGTGGCAAAAGGGGACTGCATCCAGGCAGGGGGAACAAATTGGCTCTGCGGGTTGAGACCTTCCACAAGCTGATAGCCTAGGAGACAGTCAGAGAAGACCAGTGAAAGGTAATCAGCTCCCCTGGCTGCTTGATAGTAATTAAATTTTGCACTCAGGGAGATTTGTATTTGCTGGTGAAATTACCTGGATAGACTAAGGTGGGTGCCTGGCTTCGCAGGCCCCCGTGGCAAAGGATAGACATGCAGGCATCCCATCAGTGAATCAGTCCCCTGCCCGAGATTTTGGCCTGAGGAGAGTCTTGACCTCACCTTCTCCAAAGCAAGGCTTGTAACATAACTGCCAAGGCAAATGTAACCAGGATGAAATCAGGGCAGACAGCACACATCTAGGTAGGAAGGAGGCCCTTCATAATACTCCTCCCCTACCCACCCATAAAAGGTAAAGGTAAAGCCAGTCGAGTCCGACTCTAGGGTTGCGGTGCTCATCTCCGTTTCAAAGCCGAAGAGCCAGCGCTGTCCGAAGACGTTTCCGTGGTCATGTGGCCGGCATGACTAAACACCAAGGCGCGCGGAACGCTGTTACCTTCCCACCAAAGTGGTACCTATTTATTTACTTGCAATTTCTTGCTTTTGAACCGCTAGGTTGGCAGGAGCTGGAAGTAGAGACGGGAGCTCACTCCGTCATGCGGCACACTCGGGTATCGAACTGCTGAACTACCGACCTTCCACAGCCTGCAGTTCAGCGTCTTAACCACTTGAGCCACCGCAGCTATATATATGCAGGCTATAGGAAATACATTATTCAGTCCAACCACTGAGGGCTCCTGATTGCAAGATCTTTCCCTTTCATCTTCCATTCTCTCTCTCTCTCTCTCTCTCTCTCTCTCTCTCTCTCTCTCTCTCTCGTTTCTTCACAGACAGTATTATCCACTGATGAAGGTCCCCCTCTCCTTCTCTTTACAAAAACAAACAAAACCAGCCCTCTGCCTCCTAGGAATTTGTTCAGTTGCCGTAAAGACGACAAGCTGGACTTACTTACTGAACCTGAGAACCTAACAGCCTAAGCAGCTTCATGATGCTCCCTGTCAGCCTAGTGTGGAGTGGGGTCATTGCTCACTCAGGGATATTCGAGGGAGGGGAGCCTCCTCCATAGTTTGTGCCCGTTTCAGTGCCTATACTAGACTCAAGGCTGGAGAATACATTCACAAACACTTCACTCCCCAGCGCTGGGTACAGTGACTCACGGTGGCCGTCTGGCCCCTACAGACTGGTAGTCAGAGCTGAAGGAAGGAAGGTTTCCAGGTGCTGAGCCCTCCACCAGAGCAGGCCAGGTAGGGTAATACAACAACTGCCTCCAGTTGCTGTTGTGTTTCTACCTCATGGCCGGAGGGGAGAAAAACCTCAGCCAATCACCTGCTCATGGAGGGTATGCAGATTTCCCCCATGTTCCTCTACCCTTCTGTTGTCTCTTTTAAACAAACAACCCTGTGGAATGGGAGGGGGGCCGCAGTCTAGAGGGAGAAGAGAATGAAATCCCCCCCACCTTTCCTGTCAGTGGGCCTGGGCTTGGGAGGAGAAGAAAGAAGAAAATCTGCATCCTCCTGGCAGCTTGTTGGTTAAAATAACCAAACGCTAGCTCATGACAAAGGAGTTTGAATATTAAACACTTTTTTAAAAAATCTAAAACTTGTCTGGAAGATGCAGAGAAAATAAATCTTCCTTATTTGCATGACCTGGGATTCTGCTTATGTAGAATTCCAGATTCTAGAGTTCAGCCTCATTTCCTCCCCCCACAATTACCATGATCACTGAAGAGTCTGACGCCTGTTTCCCAGAGGACAGCCGCATGTGGCCTCTGCCTATCATTGCGCGAGCTGAAATATCCTGCCTGCCCTTGCTGATTGCTGGAGGGGGATCAATCTTGGTCTAGAGCTGAGTGGGTGTGTTGCTGCCTTCCACACCTCCTATTTTTGCCTGTCTTCTGAAGGGCTCAGAATGGCATAAACAGTCTCCCCTCTTTCATCTTCACAACCCCCTTGTGAGGTAGTTTAGCTGAGAGAAAGCAAAGGGCTCAGGGCCACCTAGTATGTTTTGTGGCTGAGTGGAGACTGAAACGAGGGTGTCCACGGTCTAAGTCCCAACAGTCAAGTCTCCTGCCCCAGAGAACGTAAAGAAGCAATAACCTGTCACCAGCTGGAAGAATGCAACTCGGCTAGTGCAGCTGTAGCAGAAGGACGGGAAGCAAGCCCTCTCTGAGCAGAGACACTGACTGCAAACCTGCTCTTCTTGAGCTGGATGCTGCTGCTACACCTTTTAACACTGACTGAAAACCTGCTCTTCTTGAGCTGGATGCTGCTGCTACCCCTTTCCCCCTCTTTCCCTGAGGAAGGAGGCTGGGGGGTAGGTTATCATTCCCAAGAGCATTTTAAGAGAAGTAAAACATGAGGCCTGTGGAGGCATGCAAAGAGTGGCAGGAGCACTGCTGGCAGGTCACAATGAATGTGTGCTAAGCCACTTTAAATGCTTCGCCCTGGCAGGTTCTTTGCTAATGAGCATTTCTCTTTCTCCAGGCTCCCCGTATTATTACAGTTCACCATCACGGGGTCCGGTGCCCCCCGCCGCCACATACGACCACTTGTAGATGATCCCGTCACTGAAGGAGCCGGGGCAGCCCCAGTGAATCAGAAGAAACTATTTATTGCCCAGCGACGGAGGGAGAGAAAGACAGAGACTAACTGGCCCATTGCCCAGAGGCCTGGCACATTGCATGCAGCCCTTGGGCTGAACAAGAAGTGCCCAGCTTGGGCCAAGGAAGGAAGCCCAGCGAGCGGCTACACGGGGGCTATTTGCATGGATGTGCAAGTCACAGGGTGACCGCTGGGGAAGGAGGAGGGGCAGAGGTGGGGTTAGTGGGGGACATTGAGATGTTTAGGGCAGGGGGGCAGGTGGCAGCGTGGCAAGGCAGGAGATGGAGACATCAGGGACTGGGAGAGATCTGGTAAGGAAGCGACCGTAGGTGGCAGAAAGCCCAGTGGACTGGAGCACCCTTGGTCTCCAAAACAAAGCACAATCAGGGATGAAGCAGCTGGCCATGACAAACACCAGCCAAGTGAAATGACCTGACACTTGGAGAGCCGCTTCAGCTTTCTGCTTGCAGAAAGACAACTGGAGACCATTGTGTCTTAAAGACACAATGCAGAATTTTCAACAGTTCAGATCTTCAAGATCTCCAGTAAGTCACAAGTTTAAACAGCTATCTTCTCTCTGGAAGGGGTGGACTAGCTGAAGGGAGAATCTGTGTGCGTTGTGTGCTGCGGCAACTGGAAAGCAATTAGCTGGCAGCCACACAAAAGCCATATCTGTGCTGTTGCTTTTGCATAAACCTGCACTGACTCTGCAGGATCTGTACTGCAGCTGAAGCTGCATCCATGTGCAGATATGCCCCCTGTGCCTGCATGGCTATGGGGTCCATCCCTAGACTCACCAACTTTTATTCTCTTCAACCATTCCATTGAGTTTGAGCAGCAGGGGTGGGAGGCACAAATGCCGCTTTACATATAGAAGATGACAGGTGAGCTTCTCTTACAGCTGGCAGCAGGTGACTGCAGCAATCAGTTTGGGTAAGCTGCTGCTGGCTCCAGGGGTAAATAGGTGGGCCCAAACCCTTCTTTGTTAGTGAACAGGGAATTGCAGTGGACTGCAGCTGACACAGTCGCAGACAGAATCAGAACATGTGGAAAGAATCTGAGACTTTGCCCTGACCATAATAGGATCATCTAAAAGTCAGACTGCTGAAAGACCACTGACAATGGGAGATAACCTGAGAGGGACTCAGGGAACAATGTAGCAGTAAGGATAGGAGTGCATGTTCAGGTCAAAAGGAGGAAGCAGCTGGAAGAGTGAAGACAACAGAAACTTTTCAACTTGCCGTCCAAAATCCTCCCCCATGTGTGAGCTCTTGCCCCAAGTCCCACTCAAAGCATCTTCCTTTATCAGTGGGTCTAGTAGGCAGAGTCCACCCGCCCACCCGTTCTTGCCTGTACCTCCCTCACTGCTCTTGATGACTTCTCCTTGATGGCTTGTTTTCTCCCCTCCTTTTCCACTGGCTGCCTAGTACAGGATGTGCGTACAGTTCCTCTCCAGAATTGATTGCATTTTAAAGCTCACTGCTGTTTCAAGTCATCAAGACAGATGTTAGAGATTCTCAGAGGAGTCACCACATGAGTTCTTTGTGTGCCCCATGTAGCGGCTGGGGGCTGAGATGCTGAGTTGCCATGTGTATGTATGTATGTATGTATATATATATATGACTCTATTTCCTGTTGTATTATACTGTCCGCAAGCACCACCATTTGGAAGAGGGCGTGGCTTTTCTTCTTGCCTCCAACCGCATTGCCCAGCCTCCTCCCACTTCCTTTGAATGCTCCGTATTTGGATTCAGTGCTCTTCTCTGGTCTTGGGAATTGGCCTTCAAAGTGATGATGATAGCAAATGATGGGCTTCTTGCTGCTCTCGATTGGGGCGGGGGAGAGATTCCCTCCCTTTCCACCTCTTGGCAAAATGCTCTCGATTGGGGCGGGGGAGAGATTCTCTCCCTTTCCACCTCTTGGCAAGAGGAGGAGGAGGAGGCAGAAACTGGCTGAGACACATAGCTTAGTGGTGCGGCACACCCTTTGCATGCAAAACATTCAACATTTCAGTCTCCAGTTGAAAGGGTCTCGGGTGGCAGGGCTGGGACTATAGAAAGCACCTGCTAACTGTAAAAGGCAGTATCTGGGCTAGATGGGTACACCTCTCCTACAGTACACCATTTGGGCACTAAGTGTGGACAGCCATGGGGGAAAGTCCTGAGTTGCCTTTCAGGATCCCCTGCCAGCAGTTTGCAGCTGGATCCCTTGCCTTTCCAGCTCCACCATTGTTTAAGGTCCGAGGTAGGAATGAGTCAGGTAAGGAGTAAGGACTGACATCTCTTACAGATTTTTTTTAAAAAAGATGCTGTGGAGAATATCAGTGCAAGATCTTTGGTTGTTGTTGTTCAGTCGCACAGTCGAGTCCGACTCTTCGCGACCCCATGGACAATCTCCCGCCAGGCTCTCCTGTCTTCCGCCGTCCTCCGAAGTTGGCTCAATTTCATGTTCGTTGCATCGCTGACACTGTCTTTGGTTATCCAACTGTTAATCCAGATTCTGATCTTTCAACATGATAAATGATTGTCAAAGGAAGGTGGGGCTGGAGAGCTTCTGGAACCGCAACAATGCAGAAGGTGTGCTGGCAAAGTTGTGGGAAACATCTGGAGCTCTGTGCTCTTGCTAAAAGAAAGTTATGTTTATAGCTCCAACGCTTGTGGATATGATCTTGACGATGTAACTTCTAATGATTCAGCCATTAAAAGAACACTTCAAGGGAAGTGATTAATAACAAACTTGTTTTTAAGAAGCCGACATCTGGATTGAACACTCAAAATTAAAAAGGCCATCCTTCATTGTCTGCCACCACCCCCGCCTTTGCCAGTCTGCAGCTGCCAATGGGCAGGAAAGGTAAGCATGGTGCCTTAGGCAAAGCTAAGTTCAGCTGGCAAATCAACCTAGAGGATTCTGGCTTCTGCAAAGTCTGGAACATATCAGTTGTCTCTCAAGTATGCATATACATTAACAGGGTTAGGGTTGCATGCCTGTCAGTCTGCAACTGGAAATGCATCATACGTGGTCCTGAAAGCATTATTTGTTCACGGTCCCACCCACCCACTCTGCACCATGACTAACTTCATCATTCCCTAGCAGGAAGGGAAGGAACTGTATATGCATTCCAACTATGTGGTGATATCTCAGGCCAGGGTTCTCCAGTGTGGTGCCTGTGGGTGCCACAGTGCCTGACGACACCTGTCCTGATGCCCACCATGTGCTTTTAAAAAGCGGGCAGGGCTAGATGGGACTTTTGCCTAGCAGGGCTTCTGATCAGCTTTGCAGATTAAAAGGGATGCTCTCGAACAGAGCTTCTATGTTGAAGAGGAGCTACATGGCAGTTTTATTGCGCCCACTGCACTATGTCAGAATTCCAAATGTGCCTACAGGCTCAAAAAAAGTTGGGGACCCCATTCTAAGCCTATCCCAACAACATCAGGACACCCAGTTTTACACTGACATCCCATGTGCCCTTTGGTTTGTGTAGCGCTCCTCACCGTGCATGGAAGTATACATGCAAAGGGGTCCGTCATGCCTGATTTTGGTAGCATTTCTCTGGACTCTGCGTCCTTCTACAATGCCTCTCTGTAGGTAGCTTAAGATTTTGGAGCTCCTGGCTCTCTTTCAAGGTGAATGTTCATCTGTCCATGAAACAAATGCAAATCAGTAAGAGAAAGTGATTGACTCGATACACGGTGTTAGAGGGAGGGGGCTCAGGAGAGAAGGAAAACCATATATGCAAAACTCTGCATTGCGCTGACAAATGTGAATTCTTTTGAAGAAAGGGGTCTTTAGGGAATCATAACAGGGAGAAAACTATCTTGGCAGCAGAGTGACTGTCTGAGCTGACAGTATTATTTTCATGGAAGCGGCTTCAGTGTATATACCTTGATTTTGTGGTGACTGTTTTGGTGCTGTGCGGGGAAGAAAGATATGCAAGACCTTTGACTTGACATTAAGTTGCCCAAAAGAAAAAAGACTCAACCCCAAGCAGTCTGGTGTAGTGGTTAGAACTCTAATCTGGGAGAACTGGGTTTGACTCCCCACTCCTCCACATGCAGCTGCTGGTGTGACCTTGGGTCAGTCATAATTTCTTTCAGAGCTGTTCTCAAGGGCAGTTCTCGAGAGAGCTCTCTGAGCCCCACCTACCTCACAGGGTGTCTGTTGTGGGGAAGGGAAGGGAAAGGGATTGTAAACTGCTCTGAGACTCCTTCAGGTAGTGAAGGGTGGGGTATAAGTCCAATCTCCTCTTCTTTTCTTCTATATTTTAGACAACTCTAAAATAAAAGTGCTCTTGAGGAATAATCACATGGCAGGAGGGAGTGAACCCGAACCCTTTGCCCTCCCCCCAATTACTCTCTCTCCCCCTCTTGTCAGCGCCATAAAAAAAAGGCACTGGGGCTAATTGCATTACAACGGGAGATTTTGTCCCACATCTGAAAGAGAAATAAAGGTCTACTTCACATAAACATTCTCATCCTAAACACATTTTCCATTGAAGAATAATAAACTGAGACAAAGGATATGTGCAGCTGATGACCTATACATCTTGGCTCTGCCAGTTCTTATAGAGTTCTGCAAAATGGTTAGACTCGTTTTCAGATTTTGGAATGGTTTTAATTTATCCTTTTAAGAAAGACACAAGTGTATATTAAAATGACCTGTTTTTGCAAGTGAAACCTGAACCCACGAAAAGAAACTGTCTCTGTTATCATGGTATTGAACCACCATGACTGTCATACTGTTATCGTACATCTCATACACAGCCTTTCTTCAGAAGAGCTGGAAACACCTTGTGTATGGTCTCTCAGTTCATTCTATAAAAAAATGTTTCAGATTAGGTGGCATTACCATCCCTACACTACAGATCAGGAGGCTTCCCTAAAGCCAATCAGTGAGCTTAAGACTGAGCTTTGTGGGGACTTCTGGCCCAACGCTGAAGGTCTTAATCACTATATTA